AATATATATATATACCTTGAGTGCCGTACCATTTGGATACGCGTTAACATTTAATGAATAATATTGTTAAAAAATGAAAAAGATTATTCCTTTTTAAATTTCAACTTTTAAACTATGCTTTGCTCACAAAAAATATTTTAAAAAACTTGCATTCATGGTAAAATGCATTTTTGCAAAATTCAGAATTATGCTTAAAATATTTCATTCATATATATCCTATACTTTTAAAATTACTCTGCTTTTGCGTTTAATTTTTATAAAGCTAGATGTTTAAGTCAATTGCATTTATTTTTCAGACCAAATAATGAAGTACATGGTGAAGAACATGAATCTAGTAAAAGTCAATCTTATGTTGACAATATTGTAAGTTTTAATTCTGTGGATGATCTTTTTTTTACAATTAATTTCTTTAAATTAATACAAAAATTATATATTTATTTTTAATTTTTACTAATGATACGACCCTATTTTGGTACATATCTCATATGCCTGTTAACAATAACCCAACATTTTAATTAGTACATATCCCATTAGAAAAAACTAATTAAAATATAATGGAATCAAATAATAATGTTTAATAATAATAANAAAAATATTTTAAAAAACTTGCATTCATGGTAAAATGCATTTTTGCAAAATTCAGAATTATGCTTAAAATATTTCATTCATATATATCCTATACTTTTAAAATTACTCTGCTTTTGCGTTTAATTTTTATAAAGCTAGATGTTTAAGTCAATTGCATTTATTTTTCAGACCAAATAATGAAGTACATGGTGAAGAACATGAATCTAGTAAAAGTCAATCTTATGTTGACAATATTGTAAGTTTTAATTCTGTGGATGATCTTTTTTTTACAATTAATTTCTTTAAATGAATACAAAAATTATATATTTATTTTTAATTTTTACTAATGATACGACCCTATTTCGGTACATATCTCATATGCCTGTTAACAATAACCCAACATTTTAATTATTACATATCCCATTAGAAAAAACTAATTAAAGTATAATGGATTCAAATAATAATGTTTAATAATAATAAAATAAAATAATAATAATAATAATCTATGGATTCTATGTTGAGAATGTCCATCAAAGAGATGACAATGTGCTATAAACATCATGATAATTATAATTTTTAAATCACAATTAAATAATAATAATAAGTTCAAATGATGTTAAACATTCATATGGTAGGTCTCAACTGCTTGTTGCACTACATTTTCACAAACAGTTTTCTGTAAGAATGTGTATATTAACATTGTCAGCGGGTCCCTGTATATCTATCTGTAATAAGCATGAATGCTGACCAAGCTGTTAAATGTTATTGACTGAATCAAGATTTGCGCAAAAATGTGACCGTATCACTTATTTAAATCCAATTTTTTAATTATTAGTTGATTTATTTTAGCTGAAAAGTGAAAAAGCATCAATGGAGCGTTTTCTAAATGCTAAATTTGATAAATTTAATGAAATAATTAATCAAGCATCAAAAAAAGTTAAAAAATTGAAGAAAACACTTCTAAAAGTAAATATATTTTAAGTAAAAATAACTTAACCACAGGTTAATACATATTGTATTATTTTCACACAATAATAATTTTGTTTTATTAACATTTACTATAATTAAAAATATATATATATAGAATGTATTAGTTTTTAAATTAGTTCTAAAATCATGTTTTATTAACCTATATTTTTGTATTAAATTATATTGAAAAAATTGTTTTCCGCAGCATAAACTCGCCAATATAGAATTAGCAAAAAAGAATTTAGATTACGAAAATACTTTAAAAATACAGCAAGGTGATTATATAAGTATATATATTGTTATTAACTTACTTTATTTAATTTTACACCTGTTTAAGCAAAGTCGCATGATATTCTTAGTAAGTAACATGAAATATACTGTGTCTTAATCTGGACTTGTTTACCTGTATAAAATATATAAGTGAATAACCTATGAACTCCATTTATTTATTTTTTGGATGGAGTTCACGTAATGGGGTATAAATTAATTTTGGGCTTATATATTACTATTGTATTAAATTGAACATTAGAAACATTGGTAACAATATCATGTCCATATGGTCATTGATTATTAACTAATTATCAAAAGCAGTTACATATAAACATACATTTTTGTTTATAAAACTTTACATTTTTTTATATTATAACAATTATAATTAAAATCTCTAAGAAAAATATAATTTATAATGCAATGTCTTAATTGATTTTTATAAATATTTTAGAAATATCTTCATCACGTTTTAAAAATAAATAAATCTTATTTCTTTTATTAAATATATTGATAAGAAAAAATATTAATTAAAAAAAAACACCTATGGATTTAAGACATTTTTGAAAAAATTAATTTATCTTATTTTTCCTAAACTTTCAATTGCATTAAGAATAATGTTAAATTACATTAAAAAGAGGTAATTATCAAATTATTATCATTTGTCATTCTATTTTCTATAAAAATTTTTAAGTTAAACTTTGTTAAGTCATTTAATAGCTTCAACATACATTAATTATTATCTTTTTTTTTTGAGAAGTTAATTTTTTTGTTTGAATTATTTTTCTAGATCAAATATCAAAAATTGAAGAAACGATCAAAGCAAAAGTCTATAGTGTTCTAGAAAGTGATTTATTATGTCCAATTTGTAATGAATTAATGGTTAAGGTATTATTTTTACATTTAAATCCATTAATAGCGTAAATATAACACGTCATCATGTTAAAAGTTCTTAGCAAATTTATTATCTTACTTTGGTTAAAAAATGCATTATGGAATACTTTTTAATCAATTTTAAGATTGTTAAATATTATAAAGTGATATTAGAGATCTGAAAACTTTTTGAACTTTCTAATCCTAGAATTGTAAATAAAATTTCTGAAAAGTAAAGCTAAAATATTTTAACTAAAAAAATTATTTCTGGTGAAAATTTCTTTTTTATTAGTTGAAAAAGTAAATAAATGTGTTTAAAAATCAATTTTAAAATTCATATAGTAAAATCTAGTAAAGTAATTTAAAATGCTTTTCTTTAGGTAAATGTACATATTTTTATTTTTAACTAACAATTAATATGATTTCTAAACATATGAAGACACAAATTTTCAATTTAAAATAAAATTTGCTCAATCTTCAAAGATAAAAAACGATTTTACAATTACTTCATTTACTTACATTTACATTACTTTACCATGACGTGTGACATTTTAAAGTAAATTTGTTTATAAAAATAAAATGCAATTTAAGTAAAATGAAAAATATTACTATGTCATTGATATATATTATTATTTTATAATTTAGTAACTATTTTATCCAAAATTTCAATGAGTTTTAAAATTTATTTTTGATAAATTAGCTTCTAAGAGACTGAAAAAAAAATCACATACTTCATAATTATACCAACAAAATTATTTTATTTTAGAATTTGGGTTTGAAGTTTAAATAAAACATATTTTATATCAAAATGTTAGTTCAAGAAAACTTGAATTTTACGCATCCATAAATTAGATTAAAAAAATGATTTTAATTATCTCATTATCATTGGGAAATAAATAAAATTTAGCCATAAATTGTGAAAATGAATATTTTATATAAAATTTAATATGTAAATTTGTTTTTTTTTTTAGGCGTGTACAACTAATTGCAACCATACATTTTGTGAAGTTTGTTTAGATACTCATGTTGCAAAAAGGCCTTTGTGTCCTATTTGTCTAACTTGTGTTAGAACCAAAACTCTTTGTCTAGCTTTGGATAACTTTATTACTAATATTTGTAATCTTCTTGGGAATGAAATAAAAGAACATCGGGAAAAAGTACAACAAGAAAGTAAGTATATTTGAACATTTATTAACTTATATTTATTGTTATAACTATTTTTAGAATTGACAGTTAATGTCCCACGACTAAAGTATCCGCTACAAGTTGCTAGAAGAGGTGGTATAAGAGGTGGTAGAAGAGGTGGTAGAAGAAGTTTAAGATAATTTACCTTATTGTTAAAAATAAAATATTTTCTATAAATTATCTCACCTATTGTATTTTAAATTTTAATTAAAAGATATTTGATACCAAGCAAAATGATAGGTACTTTTTTAACAACTATGAGCACAATAACATATTATTTAATGTTTTTAACACAAATATAAATAAGCATAAGTATTTTAATTATATTTTACATGAACTCTATTAAATAATAAAATAAAACCTTGGGAGCTAGAGCTATTGGTTGGTACATAAGAATTTTGTTCGCCACCCGGTTCCTACTAAAGCGGTTGCCCATATGACTAATAATAAAAAATAACAATAAATTTCAATGATAGATT